TAATATTGATGTAAGTATACATTTTCTTCTTTCTGATCCTTGCAAAAATCTCATTCTGTTTTATTGATTTAATCTTGTGTGTGTATATATATATTTATTTCTAGGTAAAGCTGAGTGTCTTCTGTGAGCAAGACAGGATTCTGCAAGACCTAGAAGACAAAATAAGAGCCCTTAAAGAAAATAAAGTAATCATCTTTGCAATTAATTACAAATTAATTATTTTGTAATACTCTGTTTCTAAAGGCCCATTTTGGTTTTTGAGTATGTAGTAAGTAGAACTAGAATTAGATCTTTGTAATTATATAGTTTATGATATAATTTATTCCAATAAATTATTCCTATTTATTCCAAGCGAAAAGTAAGTAATTGTAGGAGATGACCAGGCTGAGCCCGAGGGAGGGGTCAAAAGCTTTACCAGTCATGAGTCCCTGAGTGCCCACAAGAGATCTAAGTCCAGCCCACCTTGAATTCCTTTCTATTCTTAACTCCCACAAATTTCCCTTAACCCTTAGTAGTTCGGATTCTTATAGAGAGTTTAAGCTTGCAATAAATCTTTATACTCATTTGAATTGCCTGAATCTCCTGATTTTCCCGGTGCTTGACAGTAATATAGGTACATTCAATTTACGTATTTCATAACTTTTCTCCATTTTAAAGATTACCAAATTCTTATAGAGTCTATATGCAATTCTTGTTTGTTTTAAATAGTTTCCCAACTGGGAGGATTCATTTTTAAAAAGCATAGGAAAATACACGAATGATGCCAGTATATCTATCCTCATTTTCACCTTCCTAGCTTACAGAGAGCTGAATTTCAGACAAGTTGATGGTATCGTCTCTGAAAGGGATTTTCAAAGCTGGGTTGCAGCCATTGAAAAACTTTATTTGTGGTCTCAATTAAAGATATCTTTGGAGTTGTTAAAGTCTACAAAACAGCCTCAGAAGACTGCTGTAGGAAGAGGAAAGATTTGTATCAGATGTTTTTGTACTTAAAATGTTCACAAATATATTAAATGGCACCCAAAAACAAACTGCAAACGCCATCTCTTTTAACAAATTGATTATTATATTCTGAACCAAACACTCTTTTGGGGGGGGTCTCCCTAAATAAAACTAATTGAAATGTGATGTATTGTTTTCCAGAGATAGGAGTAGTTGAGCAAATATTCCTCAACTTCGGTATCCAAATCCAAAACTGGGATTGAAGAGTCCAAGATCTTTTGACCTTGAGAGGGATGAATGGGTGGAGGGAGGGAGTGGCAAGCAGGCAGGCTGAGACAGACAGATATGTTTATATTTGGGATAGAAAATTAATATTTTTAAAACACTAAATTAAAGGAGGGTCTTCTAAAATGGTTTCAGAGTTTATTTTTAAAAACTTTTAAAATACTTTATTTAGGATCAGCTGGAATCTGTCTTGGAAGTGTTACATAGACAGATGGAACAATACAAAGACCAACCACAGCACACAGAAAAAATTTCATATCAGCAGAAACTTTTACAAGAAGATCTCATATGTATTCGGGCTGAAATATCCAAAGTATCTACAGTAAGTAGAAGGTGCTTTAAGAATTAATATATAGTCGTAATTTCCATATCAAGCCTACTGGAACTGCATGGCAATGTAGTTTGGTGGTTGTTGAAGTAGGATTGGCAAACTATGAAACACCACTTTCTCACTCTTCCCTTGCCAAAGACCTAGGTGAAGAGTCAGGTCTTTACTGCTCTTCTGAACAACAACAGAGAGGGGGGACATCTGGATCTTGGGGGGAACCTCATTTCAGAGGCAGGCACTGCTACAGAGAGGATACACTTCCAAAGTATGAACAGATGACATTGTTTCATTTAAAGAATTTGGAATATGTCAACCTTACAAAACTGAAATGGCTGGACAGAAAGATATGTGGGAGATAGGCATAACCAGGTCCTATGCCATGTAGGACTTTATAGGTAACAACAAGTACCTTGAATTACAACCAGAAGCAAACTGGCCAACACTGGATCTTGTGAAGCAGAGGTGTTATACGGCCATATTGAGACATGCCCATCACTACTTATGCTGCTGCAATTCTGGATCAGTTGAAGCTTTTGGGTAGTCTTCAAGGGCAGTCCCATTTAGAGTGTATAGCAGTATTCAAGCCCCAAAGTGACTAAGCATGAGCGACTGTCCGAAAGGCCCTCTAATCTAGGAAAAGATAAAACTGGAACAACAGACAACACTGTGCAAAGGCTTCCTGGACCCAGCTGCTCTCCAAGCAGGAGCTGCAACTCCAGGAAGACTCCTAAATTGTGCATCAGCCTGGAACAGGTAAGTGCAATCCCATCCAAGGTCAAAGATGGTCCATCCCCACCTCTAGGGGACCCACTCAGAACCACTCTGTGTTGCTAGGATTGAGTTGGAGATGTTTGCTCTCTTTCCAAACCTACTCAGCCTCCAGGCAATAGAACAGAACCTTGACAGCCTCACTTGGCCAGTCTGAAGTTGAAAGATATGATTGGGTACCATCAGCATACTGATGAAACAGAACTCCAAAACAGTGGATGATTTCACACGGTGGTATCATGTAGATGTTGAAAAGAAAGCTATGCAATTATGCTATATGCCAGTGGTGGCGAACCTATGGCACGGGTGCCAGAGGCGGCACTCAGAGCCCTCTCTGTGGGCACGTGCGCCGTCGCCCCAGCCCTAGGCCTTCAGCTGGGTTTTATAAAACCTTTTCGCTTTAGGCCTCCGCCGCCGTGTGCAAAAACAAAAAAAAAAGGTTCAATTAGTCAATTTCTCATGGGAAAAAAAAAGATCTTGCAAAGTTGGAATTGATTGATTGAACCACCGCAGCCACACCCACCCAACAGGCCACGCCCAGTCAATGGGCCACACCCACCCGGCACTCGACGATGCATAAGTGGGTTTTGGGTTGCAGTTTGGGCACTCGGTCTCTAAAAGGTTCGCCATCACTGCTATATGCCATTGTTTTTTTAATATTGTCCAATTTGCATACATATATAAATGTGTGTGTGTGTGTGTGTGTATGTACGCACATATATAGTGTGTCTGTGTGTATATAGTGTGTGTGTGGTGAGAGAGAGAGAGAGACTTCTGACTTTAATGAGAGTCACTGTAAAGTAAGAGCTGTGTGCATATAGCCCTAAAGTACTTTTAATTGTGTTTACACTTGCATAAAGTACTTGCTTAAATAAGTACATTAACCAGCACCTTCATAGCTCGTTACTGCTTATGAAAAGGCAAAATGAGTTTGTTCTCTTTGTCAATAGGAAATGGAAAATGCCTGGAATGAATATCTGAAATTGGAAAAAGATGTGAACCAGCTGAAGCAAACTCTGCAAGGACAGATGAATAAATCATGTTTTTCTCAGGTAAGGCTATTTTCAATCTTTGCATTTTGCAGTTCCCTAAATAGTTTGAAGCTTTAGTCAGATCTCATCTCACTGGGAGATCTAATTTTGATGGGAAATAGGGCCTTTTTTTTTCTCCAGAGGGGAAAAAAAGCTTCACATGCATATTATATCACAATATGGTAGAACTACATGTACATGCAAATGTACCTTTATGATAAGCATCAGATTTCTCACTCTTTGGCCAGTTGCTAAATGCTATGGCAAAATAACAAATAAGTCCTTTTTTTCTGGAATGACCAGACATCTTTAGTTTGCCAAGGAAATTTTCCTGGAAATATGAGTGGACTCCTTTGATCCAGCAAATAGAGAGTTTTCAGGACTTAGTTAGTTCAATGTGCATTACTTTAATTTACTGCTATCAAATGAAGTATTATCTGCTGGTGGCGTCTCAGTTTGGGAGTTTTTAGTAACATTTATGTTGAATATGTTAAATTTTTGGTTTTATAATTCGGTTGCTTATTTTATGTTATGATAGATTCTTAGGGATTTTATCCTATAAACAGCCCTATTCTGTTCTCTCCTTTTAAGCAACCGACAAAGAATCTCAGTCCAGCAAGCATGACAGTCATCCCATTCATTTAATTTCTCTGTATCTTTTCAGAGGCAAATTATACAAATTATATGTAAATATATATTTTTGTTAGAATGCTGAACAATATAAGAATTGCTATGTAGTGTGCTGTTTACTAGCAAAGAAAGCAATGTTCTCAATTTCTACTTTTTTTTGTCTATCTATATAACCAATATTGATTTGGTCCTCCTTCCCCTACCTTCTCATTAGGAGAAATCTCAAATGCAAAAAGATTTGTGGAGAATTGAAGATGTTACAGCTGGCCTAAGTGCAAATAAATCCAACTATAGAGTCATCATTGAATCTATCAAGAATCCAGGTAAGAAAGCTTAATGCTGGTATTGCAAATCTAGCTACTGGAATATTATCAAAGCAATATATGTGTGCTTCAATCTTATATTTTAGGCTAATGATATGTGAATCACAAAAGAACACCTTGGCCTCCTTTTTGCCATTCATAACATAAAAGCTAAGCTACCTTTTCCTGATGAGGTTTCTGGCATTTTATCATTAACACTCCCACATAAAAATTTACCAATGCCTTTTTTTCAGAGTTGGTGTTCTAAAATGTATGTACTTGGGTATTTCTAAAAAAACAGTTCAATAAATCTTAAGCTGCTTTTCTAAACACCAGTTTTACTTTCATACTGTTTATTATGGAGATAAGGGTTATTCTTTTTTCTGTGCTACATCTGAATGTAATGTCTATTTTTCCAGAAAGAAAAACAGTGCCTTCATTTTCAAAGCCTCTAGTGCCTTCATCATCATCTACTCTCATGTCAACAGACAGTAAAATTTCTACTCAGCAAAGTCCACCAACTAGTCCTATCAAGCCCTCATTGGAAGTCAGACTTTTTCCTCAGCCTTACACACAGCCTAGAATGTTTTCTCCATCCCAACAAGTGAAAAAAGTTGAACCTCCAATCCAGTCACCAGTGAAATTAAAACCAAAGGTTGTGTCATTATTCCATAGTCTTGTAGTTTATGGGCTAAAATGCACTGAGAATGGTAATGGATTTCCTTGTGTGTAGAATATGGGTAATGAAGAGTGATAATCAGATAAATAACACTTTGTAGATTTGTTTACAATGTTCTTGATGGTAATTGAAACTTTGATTTAATCTGCTTATAAATGACTTGTGACTGAGGAATTTCCAGGAAAAAAATCTTAAAGTAATGCGGTGTTAAATTCATATACTGCATATTATTTGCTGTGATTTAAGCAGGATTTATTTTCCACATGGAGCAATGAACACATTTTTTTAATGCAATATCAGGAAGATGAAGCACCACCAAGACCTCCTCTCCCACAGTTGTATAGCACTGATGATAACCCACCAGCTGTTCCACCTCTTCCTAAAGAAGCTACAGTAATAAGGCACACATCGGTGCGTGGTCTCAAACGTCAGTCTGATGAAAGAAAACGAGACCGTGAACTTGGACAGTACATAAATGGAGATTACAGGGTAAGCATTCCATCTCAGGTTGTATACTGTATTTATGTAGTTCTAACATTACTGTAATTCTAGTATTGTCTTCCAATATGCTGTAATTGCAGGGAGGCAGTATATGAAAAATATTGCCATCTATTTAATTATATATTTATCCATGTAGGTAGAACTCCGCTCATATGTGAGCGAACCTGAATTGGTAACAATAGACAGTGATCTGAGCCAACCTTCCATTGGTTTTCGTGGTACTGACAGTAGATATCAAACGTTACCTACCAGAGGTGAGTCAAGAGACTGAAGTTTCTGTATTTTAGAAGATCATATTTATTATGGTTTTGCATTTCCAAATGATAACATCATTTGCCACATGTTTGGGTTGAAACTCCAGATACAACTTTAAAAGGGCAAGATTTGAAGAATCAATTATATGTATATAAATAAATACATGCATAAATCCTACTTCTGAAACACTAAAGTATGTAATTCAGATTACAGCATTCAGGAAGCAGAGAACTATCATAAGGATAGTGATTCCTATTAAACCCTTAATGAATACATTTCAATAAAGAATTGAATAATACATTGAGATGTCTCAATTATAGGACATAATGTATTATGGAAAGAAGGAAGGAAATGTAGTAATAGAAATGTCTACATCCTTTTTCCAACTTTTGCCTTTAAAGACTCTCCAAATTTTAACTGAGTCTTTAAAAGAGTTATCACAAAACATAGATTTAATAAATATCAACTGGACTTTTTTTCTAAATAGAGTTTTTTCACCTTTTTTAAAAAGGATTATCTGGTTCAACTTCTAGACTCCATCAGTCATCAACAGTTTCATCATACTCAACGCTTCGAAGGGATGCTTCCAAGGTAAAATATGTTTAACTAGGATGACGCTTGTTTTGAACAACACTTTAGTAATGTCATTTTGCTTTAGTATTTGATAATCCTTTGGAGTTTAAAATTATTCACTACAAGGGTCATTCAGATCATCGATGAGTACTTTAAGTTTGTTGGCCTACCACATTTATAGGTTTTTATAGGGCTGGGGATCTAGACACTGTTGCTTCCCATTTGTAATTTATCCTTATTTTCCCATTGCTTTCTCCCTTTTTATAGAAAAAATTAAAGAGGAAAAGACAGAATTTCTGTGTATTATCGTTTGGAATTATAGTTCTAGTAGCCATCTGTCTAGAAGCACCTTAAATCTGAGTCCATTATCCTGAAGAAAATTATAGTCAATTTTTCAATTTTATATGTTTCCTCCTAGAAATTTAATCAGATATTTTTTCCAAACTATTTACTTTACAAACAAAAGATTTTCCTGGACAGTTTGCATTGAAAGAAAACAGTGAAAGGATAGTTCTGCCATCTTCAGCCTCTTAAACTAACATAGTTATACAGTAGGTCAGTATTGTCCATAGTAAGTTAATAAAAGGAAGTAGTTTGGAGTTATACTAACTTTTTAAAAAAATGCCATTACAAACATGTTCTGTGTCATTTTCAAGGAGAGACCAAAGAGTGCCTTGGAACGTTTATACTCTGGAGATCCTCAAAGAGGAAAAATGAGTGCCGAAGAACAACTAGAAAGAATGAAGCGATATCAAAAGGCAATAGTTCGTGAACGCAAAAGAACTCTTGGTCAAGGAGAAAGACAATCTGTTTCATCACGACCGTTCATCCAGCCTGGTTCAGCAGACATTGGCTCAGTATGTTAGACATGCCTTAACAGGACTAGATAAAACAAAACGATCTGTAGCTTCTCTAGTAAGCACTTTTATTTGAGAGTGCATGTCACCTTGCATTATTTAATTATATAATGGTGGTATTTCAATAGGTAGGGCGTGCATAACAGAAAATGGCTTTTGGCTATCAATATTGACAATTTAACATAGGAAGTAGGAAATAAATTGGCATAAGAAAAGTACAGTGAGAAATATATATATATATATATTTCAATGTAGATAATAAGTTGGTTTAATCATTTTTTTTTCTTACTAGGTTATGAAATAGAATACTTTTTTTCTGATTGCACCATAAATGAATGAGCCCAGTAGACAATATTAGCACAATTAAAAAATATAGTATCTATGGTTATGTTAAATAAGAACTTTATAGGTTATCATTTTAGGTTTTCAGAAATGTTATATATTAATTATTAAACCTAGGAATGCATCTAATGGATTCATATAGCTGCTAATGCTCCTTGATCATTTAGGTCTAAGGTATGAACAATATTCTAGAAAGGCTCTCCATTCAATTAGGAAAAAACAATTCCAAGTTAAATATAAACTGACAATTATTCATCATTGTCAATTAAGCAAATAATCATTCCCACTGCAATCATAGATATTTTACATACCCAATAAATATATTTATAAAAAAGAATATTCCACTAATATTAACATAATTCATTAAATAGAAACAGCCATTATCCATAGATGTGATCTGTTTATGCAGAAGAGACAATTCCATTTAAAATTACTAGGGCTGCTTTTTTAAATTGCCAAATAAAGGATGTTTTGTTAGTCTTAGAAATGGCCACTGTTGATGACAGATGCAGTGAATGACACTTTTTCTGCAGGTGTCAGTTTCACTCAATTGTCAAACTTTGCATAGCAAAATTTAGGATTAGGTTACCAAGATATTTTCCTAAATAATGGAATGATCTCAAATAAATTCAGTGGAATTGGTTTCCTGTACCATCCTCAAATCACAGCATGTCTTCATCTTTCACAGTTTGGAGTTATAGAAAATAAAGACAATTTAAAATGGAAATAAAGCTATCCAGTTATAATCATGAAATTTTTACAGTAAAAATATGTTTTACTTTTTAAAATAGCCCTAGGTGTTTAAAAGATCATGTTTTTAGGATTATGAAAATTGGAGGTAGCTATGTTAGGCTGTTACTGCAAAAGCAACAAAAACTTACAAATATATTATGATAAGCTTTTGGGGGTTAAAGGAGGGTCTATTAAATGCACAATCATCTAAGAGTCAAACTAAATAATGAGAATGTATTCAATAATTAAGTATAAGAATGTATCCAGTATATCAGATTTTGATTATTTACATAAGAGATGCATGACAGAGAGAAATCAGGATCTGATCATTCTAATAGTGCCCTATCATAACACATCTAATTCTGTCCATGGGCACACACGCATGCATACACACACATGCAAAATTGAGGCTAGTTTGGTGCTAATAAATGACTATTCTGAACATATCTTTTTTAAGAAATAGAATGAGTCTATGGGAGTGCAGATGACCTATCTTCTGCCCTTTTAATATAGTTAGATGGATAAATAATGGATCATATTGTACATTTTCATGATAATAGGAATATTATCCATGATAATCTCAGAATCTCTTTTGTGCCCCATCTTCAAAAACCTTTCCTTTTGGTAGTAAAAAAGTTATTTTAGTTCTTCCTTGTAAGATACTCCCATATCCTGTTTTAAGTAAGAACAAACTCTGAATATTACATCATAAAAAACAGAATTTCCCTCTCTCTCTCTTTTTATTGATACATAATCAACCTGAATCAAACCACTGCAGATGAAAACCTTTTCATTGAATGTTGTAAACCTGTTGCAAATTTAAGACCTGTGGACTTCAACCCCAGAATTAGTGGGAGATTTCTGGGAGTTGAAGTCCACAAGTCTTACAATTGCCAAAGTTGGACACCTCTGTTGTAAACATAGTTTGCCCTGCTGTTCCAATAGGGGATGTACAGTAGGTAGAGGTCCATTTCCCAAGAGAAAATGTCTAATAGTCATTTTGACAGCCTCCACGCCTTGTCACCTTGTGTGTGTGTGTGTGGGGGGGGGATAGGCAATATAAAAAATTAATAATAAATAAATAAAATGCCTATAAGGGTGGGCTAGAATCTGAGTCTGCTCAATTCTAATCTAGCCCCTTAACCACAATACCTTACTGGCTCCCATTCATTCATAGCCTATTTAAAAGCCCGACACTTTGAACAGGGGAGAAACTTACTGGTCTCATCCTTTTTTTAAAAGTAAGCAAATAATGGTATTCTTTTCCCTCACTGTTTTGTAACATAGATCATGATCTGTGAAAGTTAGTCTATAAAGTGCCACAGGACTTTTTCGTATTTAGGGTTTTCAAAAATGAGGGTTTATGCAATCACTGTTTTGTCTTTTCCTTTTGGCACGCTAGAATTATTTATGCTCATCGCCTGCCTAATTCATTGCACAAGATCTCTTGCTTTTAAAGTCACTCATTCTACATATTGTTTTTTTTTTTAGTTTCTAATTATTTAAAACTATTTTTTAACTAAACTCAGTTTCTGCCAGGCTTAATTGCATTTTAGCATCCTTTTTTGTTAAATTTCTACTTTTGTTGGTGGTTATTTGTGTTCCCATTTTAAAATAGTTGTTTGATTGCATTAATTTATAAGGCATTAATGAGCCATTAATGCCATAAGTAAATATGTAAACACTTAAAGGAAACTGGTGCATTCAGATATTTACCTTTGCTGTTATATTTTTTTAAGAAATAGAATTAATACATAAGGAAAAATAAAGCCCTGCCATATCACATATTTAAGTAGCAGAATTTGAACCTGATTTTTTTTTTAAAAAAAAAAATATGGCTCTCAAATTTATAATTATTTCTAATGCAAACATTTCATAATATTTTAACTATTGAAACAATGTAGCATATTTTCATACCATATTGGTCTTCATTCTTGCTGTAAAAATAAAAAATAGCACAGCCCCAGAAGAAACAAATTATTTAGCCAAAGGGCTCCAGTGCACAAAACGTAATGTTGGAAAGCACAATTTACAGCACTACAATAACTTAGCAACCAAAATGGTAAAAATGAAATATGTAATTAGATTGCACAGTTTGTAATGTTACATAAATTGTATGTGTAAATCTACTTTTAATACAGTGCACTGATATTTTTTTAAAAGATCAATTTTTAAATGTAGTATGACATTAAAATATTGAGCCGGATATTTGGATTGTTCATTTGATTTTGATGTAAAGGACTTCGTATCAACAACAATAAAAATGCTTCCTAATACTGAACTCATGTATTTCTTCTAGTATAACATGTAGAATTAATATTGTCTTATATTACATTTATGGATGCAATCAGGCCTGGCTTGAATATTGAGTAGGCATTTGGTTACAATGTGTGCTTTAATTGTGAAGATGATTGAACTTTTCTTGCAGAAATCCCTCCATTTTTAAAGTCTGCAATTTTTATTTGTGCAGTAGATGTTCCTACTCCTAACAGATACAAATGTAGGTATGTTTTGAGTGAAAAATCAAGAGCTTGTGCATGAATGATATATTTTCCCCAAAATATCTTAGACTGGATCTACAAAGTCATTGCTGGAGTAAATGGGGGAAGGTAACCTCCACTGTGTCTCCTGTGTTTTCTGCACTGTTCTAAAATAAATCTCAGTACCCTAAAAGAGATTTATGTGAGCTACAGAAGAAAGGAGGAAACAGTCAAAATAAATCCCCCCTTTTTCATCCAGTGGAGAAATCCTGAGTGGAATTCTGTCCTTGGATATTCAAGATACAAACAATGTTGAACCAGAAGCAGAGGGTGGGATATGGTCCTCTACTGTGCAAATGAACACTTTATACAGTAACACATTTTGATGTGATCACTGAAATAGTAATATTCATGCCATTTTAATGCTACACCCTTTATGACAAGTGGGACAGAATATCCAAGTAGATAGGGTATTGTGTGGTTTTACAAAAAATACAGGTAGTCCTCCAGTTATGAACATTGACTTAGCGAATGTTCAACGTTACAACATTCCCTGCCAAAAGTACTTACAAGCGAATTGCAAAGTTACATATGTTGCAACATTACAGCAGTTGTTTTACACTTATGAATGACCACAGAGATGCTGCAACATGGTACTTTGGTGCCACACCTGAGAGTCCCAAACTGCCCCCGCTTGCCTCCTTTGTAGCCTTGGGTGCCGAAGCCCTTGACCAACCAGGTAGAGAAGCGCCAGTCTGATCTCTCCCCTTCCCCACTAAGCCCCAGCTTCTCTCACAAGCGGGCGTGGCCCTGCTCCACCACTTGCTGGAGTGCTGAACCCGCCTGGGTTTCACAAATTGCACCACCATAGAGCTAGAGAGCTTGGCACGCCGTCGCCCTGCTCCCCTCCCTTGCCAAAAGCACTCCTTTTCCAAATTGCAAGAGGGGCTCCTAAACAATATGACTCTCCAGCTCTGTTGTGTTTCTCCACTGCCGTGGAACTGGAGAGTTGGCATGCCACCGCCCTGCTTCCTTCACTTGGTAGCCCTTGCTCCTGTTTGGATGCGAGTGGGAAGAAACTACCCAGAGGAAGCTGGCTGCCCCCGTCTAGCTTCTAGATTGGAAGGCTTGATTGGCCCAGTTCCTCTCCTCCCCACGACCTTGCTGCAAAATCTCCTAAATGGAGATTTTGCAGAGGTGCAGGGCGCAGCAATGCCTTTGCAGCTTTTCATAGTGCGGGTTGGTGGAACCAGCTTGCCCCTCATTGCAAGCATGACTCTCCAGCTCTCTGGTAGTACAATTTGTGAAACCCAGGCAGGCTCAGCATTCTAGCAAGTGGCAGAGCAGGGCTGTGCCCGCTTGTGAAAGAGGCTGGGGCTCAGTGAAGATGGGGAGAGACTGGTCCGACGCTTGTCCATCTGGCTGGACAAGGGTTCCTGCATTCAAGGCCGCACAGGCAAGCGTGGGAAGTGTGGGGCTCTCAAATGTGGCGCCAAAGGTAAATTGACGGGGTGGGGAGGAAAGGCCCAAGCAGCTTTGGACCCCAAGGAGTGGAAAGAGGAACATGGGGTCTCTCGGGGGGAGGCAGTGGTCTTGTCCGTGCACTAGGCCCCCCATGGCCTTCCCCACCCTGAGATGCACTTAATGACCCACGTATTCAATTAGAAAATGTGTGGGTGAAAGCCAAGAGTGATCGTGTTCAAGTCATGTGATTCACTCCTATGAATTTTCGGCTTACGAATGTAATTGGCAGGCTCCATTACATTTGTAAGTCGATGACTTTCTGTATGCCAGAGGTCCCCAACCTTTTGGGCATCAGGGACTGGTTCCGTGGAGAAAGGTTTTTCTGTGGACCAGAGAGTGTGTGGTTTTGTGTGCTGCCTGCATCCCACAGATGGGACTTTGCTTGTTTGTGCGGCCCAGTTGCTGGCATGCCGTGGCCCGTTATCGGTCCATGGACCAGGGGTTGGGGACCCCTGATGTATACCACTGAATGAGATGTTAAATGATCCAATTATAACAGTGCTACTTTGCACTTTCTATAGCATGAAGACTTTTACAAGACTCTACTTTCTTTTTCTTTGGAACCAATTTTTTGTCTATTTGTTGTTTTATAAGCATTCTGAAACATATATATTTCAGAAGTTCTCATGATAAAAGCCTTGTTTGAACAATACAGTGTCCAGGCATCCAGCCTCCTAGGACATATTTTCTGTGGCCTATGGATTGAAATAATGCAACTTAATGGGAAAATGCATTTATCACATGTGCACCTTTATATGTCAAAAAATTCTCATATTTCATTCAGGCTTTCCTTTATGTTATAGTAAAAGATACCCCTGAAATATTTGTAAATAAATGAAATACTTCATTATTGTATGAGTGTTGTACAGTTAGCATAACTTAGTTGGAGGATGGTTTTATAGGACACCTGAAAGTTAGGCTATTCTGATAAAAAAAAAAGTGGAAGTAATTAATACATTTAATGCAGTGGTGGGATTCAGCCGATTTGGCAGAAAAGTTTGGCAGAACCGGTAGCTAATTTTTTGTTGCCCAGGCCCAGAATAGACTTCCGGAAGCAGCATCCACACAGAACCGGTTGTTCACATATTTGAATGCCACCACTGATTTAATGTATATGTATTTATGGTAATTCTGAACATTATTTCTATCATATTTGAAAGTATTCAGTGACTCTGAAAGCAAGTTTACATTATACTAAAGTTCTATCTCTCTTGAAAAAACTAAAACATATTTCTAGGTTAGCCTGGAGTGCTTGTAAATAGTAAGAAACATAAAAGATGGTGATCTATGTTATTTGATTTTAGTAGATAGTTTTCTAAACCGCATCATATCTGAAGTAAAAGTACAATCCAAAATACTGGTTTGAAATGTTGATGAGCTTCATAATTTTTGTAAGTCGTTTAATAGAATAACAACAGTTCCAAGATGGTTGGCTTGCAGGACTTAACGGGCTTTCTACAACCAGCAGATATTTAATTAGTCTTTTTAAAATGAGTCTTTGAAGGAAAGTGGTTACTTCCTAATTTTAACTGGAAACTTTTCAATTCCAATTTCATTAGGACTTAGTTTCAGCTAAGTTTGCTTTGTTGCCCAGAGGAAGTTGAGTCTAATTTTGTTGTTTGGAGACTCTTGATTCATTCCCTTCTATCATAGGAAACCAGATCATGTTTTTTTTCCCTTTTGACCACAACTTATTAATTCTCAGGATGACATTCTCTCTTTTTATTATTTTATGTATTTTGTGTTTTAAGTGCCCTGTTTGTTTCAAAGATCTCTTTTTTAATGATGTGATTTTGCTTGTCTGCTATCATCTTTTACTGCAGTCATGTAAAAATAACATCTAGCCGAGACTGACACAAAGGTAAGATTGCTTTTACTGTGATTGGTAAGACGTTATTATGTGAACAAACCAATCCACCTTTAGAAGCAGGTGTAGCGTTTCAGTGCTTTCTATGTACTTGTATTTGGTATGATAAACATTTATGCCAACTTAAAACAAATTCTTAAAAGGGCATTCCACAGCATTTCTTTATCACTATTTGGCTTGTTTCACAATTTTCGGTAATTTAAGTAGGCTATTTTGTTCTTAGAGTAAGTATACGAAGCTTCAATTTTCTTCTCCCAATTTCCTTAAGTTCCCTCTAAAGAAATTGTGAACAGGTCAAGGACACCCCCCCCATGATATATATGTTCCATAAAAAACCCTAAAAAGTTAAGAGAGGCTTTTTCCCCCCCTCTCTGTTTTCTTAACTCTTTAGTCCCGTTCAGCACATCTTAGTTTTATGGTCAGATGATCTTTCACAACTTTCCCTCATTCTCTTTGTTTAATAAGACTAACTAATTATCCCTCTTACGAAATTTAAATAGTCCATGTTGGAATGGAGGCATTAATTAATTAATTCAAAAGTGCTTTAAATCTATCACATTCAGATGTCCCTTTAATCTCTTTTAAACTTCTGTAGTTCAAACTCTTGGCAAGCTTTTTTGCTTTTAATTGTTTTTAAATCCTTATAATTGCTTCTCCACATTTTATTTTAATCTTGTCCCAGGCAAAAGGAACACTCTCTAGGTAGTTTAGTTCCTCTGCTGCTCGAAGACCTCTGTAACTTTTATTTTTTTATGTAATCCAAACAGTAAGTGGAATTTTAAGCAAACCCAGTGTCTTTAAAGTAGATTCTGCACGAGACTGTCCCCTTGTTATTTCTTCCTCTGCTCCTGGTGCTCTACTGTGAGTTTCCCACAAGTTTCTTCCAGTTCTTGCAGGTTTCCTTGCAAGGAATGCTTTCAGAAGCACAAGTGGGTGATCCTCAAGGCTTTTACTTGTCCAAAAAAGTTATACTGGCTCAGGCAGACCACCTGGCTGCCAATCTCTGTCTTAGCAGTACCTCTGCTGTTCAGACATATATTAGTTTGCCAGCTGAAGAGCCCAGATGGCACAGTGGTTAGAATGCACTATTGCAGGCTACCTCTGGCCACAGCCTGGAGTTCGATCCTGATGGGCTCAAGGTTGATTCAGCCTTCCATCCTTCCGAGGCCGGTAAAGTGAGGATCTGGATTGTTGGGGGCAATATGGGGGCAATATGCTGACTCTGTAACTGCTATAAAGCACTATGGAGTGGCATAAGTCTAAGTGCTCTTGCTCTCGCAGTTTTCTCCACTTGGAAGTCTCAAAAATTCATTTGTTTGCTTAACTACAGTTAAATATTTTCTGTTTCATTCACTTAAAGAATTACATGATAATAACTTTTGGAGATCTTGGGGCTGCATCTGATCTAACTGTAGGTTGTGTGTCTCTCATAGGCAAAGGCCTACTGCATTTCCTTTGTATACCGTGTTTCCCCGAAAATAAGACCTGGTCTTTTTTTTTTTACGTCCAAAAAATTATTTTCAGGGGGGGTCTTTTCCACTCACCTCACAGCAAGCGGGACTGACATCCCCACCCAGCCGGCCCATTTCTTCTGCAGCCTAAGGAGCAGCTTCATTCTGCAGTTGAGGGTGGAGCTCGGCCTGCATTTCGCAGTCAGAGGCATTTCTGGAAGGCCTCTACAACCAAGAACCAATCCATGGATTCAATCCATAGCTCGGTTCTCGGCTATACAGGCCTTCCGGAAAGGCCTCTGACTGCAAAATGCAGGCCAAGCTCCATTCTCAGCTGCAGAATGAAGCTGCTCCTTCCGGCGAGGCAAGTGTTGGTCCATGGGAGGCCTGGCTGTAATGGTAAGCTCCACCCCTCACCCCCACCCTAGCTTGATTTTTAGGGGTGCACCTTGCCCCCAAACTAGGGCTTATTTTTGGGGTAGGCTTATATTAGGCCCACCCCAAAAAATCAAGCTAGGACTTATTTTCGGGGTAGGTCTTACTTTCGGAGAAACACAGTATCACATTTGGGAAGAGCTTTTCCCAAGGAATACATTTTTTTCCTGGCCCAATAGATTATAGATAAATCTAATTATCTCTGACTCATAACATGTAAAATCAGAATCTAACTATAATCTGCTATCAGCTTTGATCTGACATTAGATTAATCTCTGCTGGTTGGAAAGGTTGCAGACTACATCAGGGTAGCCATCAAGTGAGAATCCAGAAATAAATGCTATGGTAGCCTTTGGTTTCCATTTTAGCTATTCAAAGGTCGAGGTAATGATAAACACTTGCTAATTTATTACTCATTATAGTCAAATATATCATTGTTTCCTGTCTGTTACTAGTGGAAGCGAGAGCAAGAATTTGACTTGCAGTTACTGGAAAGAGCAATATGTACAGAACAAAAAATGGGAGATAATTGGTTAAAAATCGACCCTGTGGCGGTAACAGAGACAGATCTAGAGCACGAAGATTATAACTTGGATATTAGCAAAGAGGTAAGGCTAGTTGTTGCTATTGCCTTATATTCTTGTACTCTTTGGGGGAGATGGGCAGAGATTGGGCAGGGGTTAGACATATGAAATACAAACAAACAAATAAATAAATTCACTGTTTTCCAAGCTTGACATACTATTTTCCTCTCCATTTGTTTTCTTTAATGTTAATCAGTTTTCAGAAAGATTTTAATTTAAGCAAAGTAGGATTTTTTTCTGAGGTATGTACAGGGCCCTTTCTTTTGACATGTGTCTAGTAGCAAGAAAGCCATGTTAGGAAAGTGACTAAAACATTTGAATCTGCAAAGGAAAAATGCACAGTACTAGAGGGAATTAGCCCACTCATTTTGTAGAGTTATAAGGATCTCTCAGCTCTCATCAGAATGACATACACAGCATCACCCCACAAGCTCAACCCTTTTTCCTGTCACTTTGACAGGCAAAAATTACGTTGGACACCATAATATGGCTTGCATCACTCTGATTCTCTTTTCCTCTGCTGTGAACACCAATACAGTATTAAAGGACTGATAAAATAGAGGGAATAAATTAAAAACAAACAAACACAAAGATGCTATTAGCCACAACTTCTACAGAATGGTGTTAGAATATTCCAGCAAAAGTTGCCTTTACTTTTCTTACTCCTTTGAAATCAGGAGACTTAAGAATGTTTCTTCAGTATTTTACTACGGAGCTTTTCTGAAGGCTTTTAAATGTTATTATGAGATAATACCATCACATAATTTTTTAGGAGTCATTCAGGTTTAAGATTGAATTCTGATTATTTTGATTGTTATTTCTTGTTCCATGTTTGTTTTATGCTGCATTTTGCATAATGCTGAGAATCTTAAAAATTGAAGAAAGGATATCATCACAGGTAGAATATCATCAGATTTTGAGATTAACAATATATTTAGAAACCTACAGAGCCATCTTGTGGCCCAAAAGAAGAATATTTTATTTCACTGAAAGATTAAAGAACAGTAAAATCAAAAACAATACCTTGCTCAGTAAACGGTCAGATTAAGAAAAACTAATAAATAAAATAAAATGATTTCGTTAATTCTAGATTGAAATTGTTTGGAATTGTTATCTATATCTGAGGTCTAATTCCTGAAGATTAAAAAGTAACCTGAAAAGTATCTTGATAACAAGAGAGAGATTGCATAAGTTGAATTCTCAAAGTCTCATTATATAGCAACTATACTTAAGCATTTCCCTGAGATTTTTCTCACTAGTATTGTTTGTATATTCCTTTTAAAAATTGCCCTGTGATAAAATGAAGACATCAGACAAATCTGAATTTAGATAGATAGATAGATAGATAGATAGATTCAGATTTCTCTGATGTCTTCATTTTACATATACATATATATATTTATGTATATATATGTATGTGTATGTATGTATGTATGTATGTGTATGTATATATATATATATATACTGTATTTATGTATGTATGCATTCTTTTAATGGATTCTTGCTATAACCCTAATACTTAATACCAATACTTCATATTTTAATAAAAATTATTCTAAACAAACAATATTGTATACTAATTATGATGTTGGGCAGGTATCCTATACCTGTATTTCCACACATATACCACATACCTACGTACAAGAGCTTTCCACACTTCTAGAGCAGATATGACGTATGAGTGGAGAGAAGGAACACCTATTTTTCCAAAAACCATTCTTTTGGTTGACAGGCACTATTATAAAACATGTTTCACAGGAAACTTGCACAGAAATATTGAAACATCTATTTCACCCTTCTTTTTTCTCTCTTGTGTATTTGAATGTACAAATGTTGTAATGTTCTAAATGTAGTATAATAAATATTTACAATTACTGTTTTTTTTAAAAAAAAAAAAAAACTCCCCCCAGTTGTCAAAGCCAGACAAGGTTGCAATTCCAGAACGGTACATTGAGATAGATCCTGAAGACCCCCTCACTCCTGAAGAATTGGAAGCAAGACATCGTAAGGCAGAAAAAATTAGGCATATTCTTACCAGATCAAGGTAAGCTTTGTGCATAATTCCTCTTTATTTATAACATCAGGAAACATGCAAAGCCATGTTATGTACATATAATCAACTTTATTAATTTCGTCCATCTTGTAGGAAGAGGCTACTGGAACAATAAATCTTGCTTGTTTCTGTATGTTATAAACATAGACCTGTAAAATCCTGGGTCTCTGTCTACCTTTTGTAGAAGGATGTTTCATCCAGAGATCCTTTACTGGCTCTAATCCAAATGACAACTGCTTCTTAAGGATGGTCCATCTGCAAATCTCTGTCAAAGAGAGCATTTGGTTGTGAATTACCCAGGCTGATTGTCATGGTTCCGACAGATGAAACTCTTTAAAAGAACTTTGAGGCATTGTTTATCTTAAAGAATCTTTTATTCGAGAAAACAAAGTATCAGCACTACATACCGGTAGTTAAAGCCAAAAACTGAATTCCCCTCCCCTGGGCACAAAGTAGAAAAGCACAATTCCCTCCTCCAATTAACCGTCATAAATCACATTCCCCAATTAGCAGCTCTCCAGCCCGCCAAATCTTTATCAGCTCTGGGCACAATAACCTTGATTCCCACGGCTGAGTTATTGTTGTTATGACTAACTGGACTCTCATCCACATCTCCCCTCCCAGCATCATCTAACTCAGTGGTTCTCAACCTGTGGGTCGGGACCCCATTTGGGGTCGATCGACCATTTCATGGGGGTCGCCAAGCAAGGCTGTCCGCCATTTTTTTTGTCCGCCATTTTCCCGTTTTCCAGCGGGTGCCTTACCTCCCTTGAGCTCTGCCGCTTGCCAGCTATGCCTCAGCTGGCGCAGGGGGCGGAACCACGCATGCGCGGCGCTCCCGGGCAGGGAAAGTCCTCGACTTACGACCGGTTGGGTAGTCCTCGACTTACGACCAGTTCAGTCCTCGACTTACAACCGGTTTAAGTCCTCGACTTACGACTGGTTTAGTCCTCGACTTACGACCGGTTGGGGTCGCGGCATTAAAAAGGTTGAGAACCACTGATCTAACTCTAAAAGCGAAAGAGAAAAGATGGCTACATTTCCATCTGTTGTCAAAACAAGAACATCCAATGTTAGTAGCTTTGACATCCCAGCAAGGCCCTTCAAGAGCCATTCTACTTTTTAAGGCATTTAAAATTTGTTTTAAGCTCCTCTGTATTTAAACTTTTTGGTAATTTTTTTTTGCTGCTTATTGTATGTATTTAGCTTGCTTGCACATTTTGTTTATTTATCCATTCAATTTTTTTATCCTGCCTTTATTACTTTATAAGTAACTCCAGATGGTGAACATGTATAATACTTCTTCCTTCTTCCTCTTATTTATCCCCCAACAGCAACCCTGTGAAGTAGGTTGGGCTAAGAGAGAATTACTGGCTGAAAGTCACCCAGCTGACTTTCATTTCTAAGGCAGGACTACAATTCCCAGTCTCCTGGTTTTTAGGCCGGCAACTTAATTACTAGGCTAAACTGACTCTCATTTGTTGATTTTGTTATTTTTCTATTTGCTTCTCTGTATTTTTAATACTCTGCATTTTAATAATTGGTAATACACCAATTATATAAATACAGTGTAAAAAGTTATTATACTATACTCCCCAGATTCATAATTTCAGGATAATCTTGAAGTCTTTTTATTTCAATGTTGAGCATATATTGGAAAGTGGTCAGGACTGAGACCACAGCATGTGCCCAAGTACAGCACTGTTTTTTTTCTTTTCTTTTTATGTTTACCCTAGTGTGCACAACCTACAGCCTCCAGTTCAGGACAAATACAGCTCTTCAAATTTAGATTCACAACTACATGAGCAAGAACGCATCATTACCATATCATACGCACTGGCTTCTGAAGCCTCTCAGCGGAGCAAAGAGGTAGCAGGTAGTGCTCTATTTATAAAGCAGTGGCTGTGACAGCGCATTGTTTTAGTTACACTGCTACATAATGTGCATTTATACCTTTCTTCTAGGCTACTGTACGTATCAGGGCATTAAGACCATAACTTTTTATGTTATTTTTTGATATCTTAATTGGATAGTTTTTGTCATGGAGCTGAACATATGCATTGTATTACTCAGTATTAATCAGTATTTAATGCTGGGTATAGTTTCTTCCTATTTGAGTAGGAAAGATAGGCAACACAAAATTTTCTCTACAGTCTTCATCTGCTAAGGCAATTTATAGATTGCTACATCACACATTAAGATTAAATGGACATTTTTCATGCCCAAAGTTTAGAAAGATTTGCAGTCATCAATATTGTTGAGATTCCAGTTTAAACAAAATATTTGGTAGAAGTTTGAAGATGGGAAATTAGTCAACAATGTGTTCCTCTTAGTGCTCTGCGAACTGTTGTGCTAGAGCACGGGTGTCAAACTTGATCACATCACATGACATATGACATATCATGACTTTTTTGCCCTTGCAGAGCTGGGGTGGGCATGGCCTGCGCGTGACACATCCAGCCTGCGGGCCACCAGTTTGACACCCCTGTGCCAGAGGATTGTCTTCATAATGAAGGCAATCCTTAGCTAAGTGAAGGAACCCTTTACTAATCTATGCCTTTGGTGAAGCCGTTTCCAAAAGAATCAACATGGCATTGGATTATTGTTACTTTAGGGTTTTTTTGCACTGAGACCGTTGTTTTATCTTTGTATAACACCTTATCTTTTTTCTGTCCACATGTTCAGGCTTTTCCATCAAAATGCTGTAAAATTCATAAAAATAAAACAGTGAAATTTGATTGATTGATTGATTGATTGCACTATTCCAGGATTTGGAATTGGACTTGGCAATTTTTAAAAAAAAATGTAGTCACTTAATTCTGCCAAAGCTTGATGGGTTTCAGCTAAAGTTTTTTATCTTCTTGGAAACTAACAGCATATACAGAAATAGCAGATGAAATTGTTCTTGCTAAATTGTGCTTCCTTTATACTTTAATCTTTCAATGTGTTACTAATATATTATGATATTTTCATTGTATATAGCAGGGCCAGTATTATCTAGTGCCTGCCGAGTTAATTTTCTATTATATTAATTGATTTCAATTTTATTTTCAATTCTGTTGTGAACTGCAGCACAAAATCACATCTACATTTATGTTGTGATGTCAGTAAATACTCTCTGATTCCTTTGACTTTTTAAAAAAATATTATATCACAAATTGGTTATAGTAAAAGCCTTCTCAAAAAGTAAGTCAGCACTTCAAGTTAATATCCATGGCAGATTCTAGTTCATTTCTAAGAAAAACAGGTTCCACATGTATCTTGGAGAAAGACATTTTTGCTAGAATTATTTCTACATGATATAATTTTTTATTCAAATAAGCAGAAAGTCAAGCAAGAAATCTAAGTGGAACAAAATGGCTTAGTGAAAGTGAACAAATAAATTTGTTTATTCATTAGATTTACATCCCACCTTTCCTTCAAAGCTCAAGATCACTCCCTCCTGTCATTTTTCTCTACAATAACTCTTGAAGTAAACCAGGCCGAGAGACGATTACTGGTTCAAAATCACTCAGCAAACTTGTATGGCTGATCATCACAGAGCACAGATTCTCAAGAAGCTCCACAATCTCACAATATGTTTTGACAGAATCTCGGTTTACATGGTTTTTTAATGTGCTTGATGGCATTTCAGCCACACTCCCATGGATCAGAGAGTACAGTTCTTTCTTCCTTTTTGAGGAAGGCACAACAAACAAAATAAAAATGACTCGGTGATTTTTCATATTGTAGGACTAAATTTTCTTGACACAGAAAGTACATGTTGATTTGCAAAAAGTATTACAATTCATACTATTGTCTGGCCCTGTTATCTCGAATTTGAGCCCATTAAGTTGTGTATATCTATGTGTGTGAAAGAGGAAAAACAACACAAAGAACAATTGTGGTGCCTAATTCCTTTGTATGATCCCTTCTAGCTCCGCAATTGATTTACCCAACTAAAGCACCCTCACCTTCTGTACCTCAACCACTCCCCTTAAGCAATGGATTTCACTACACATTTGTCTAAACACCTTGAAAGTAAGAACTAACTGCTCTTGCTGCCTATATTTGCCATTAATGATATGCTTTCCCGGTGTTGGAGCTCTCTGTAAATGTAATAACTGCATGCAAACTTTAGTGATCTAAAGATTCTTTGCTCCTACAGTTAAGAAAAGTAAAAATTCTCACAAGGTATTTGCAGAAATTGTCCAGAAGTGCTATGAGACTGCAAGTTGTTTTGACTTCCTTATCACTGTGATGTAATTTTAAGGTGAAACGTGTATAGGTGGTTTTGTAATAGCAGCACCACATATTGAAGATTACACCATGAAAATGGGAATTGCCACAATCCATGTCTCATGGAAACTGGAAAATCCTAAAGCAGTGGTGGCGAACCTATGGCACGGGTGCCAGAAGTGGCACTCAGAGCCCTCTCTGTGGGCACTCACGCCGTCGCCCCAGTCCTAGGCTTCAGCTGGGTTTTATAAAACCTTTTAACTTTAGGCCTCTGCCACTGTGTACAAAAAAAAAGGTTCAATCAATCAGTCAATTTCAACTTCTCGCGGGGAAAAAAAAGATCTTGCAAAGTTGGAATTGATTAATTGAACTTTTAGTCCCACCCAGTCTGCTGTTACCACCGCATCCATGCCCACCCAAATGGGCCACACCCACCAAGTGGGTCACACCCACCCGACACCCGACAATGCATAAGTGGGTTTTGGGTTGCAGTTTGGGTACTCAGTCTCTAAAAGGTTTGCCATCACTATTCTAAAGTATTAAATAACATCTGAATAAATATTAAATATGTAAAATAAATGTTACATAATAAAATATATAATATTATTGGTAGCAGAAATAAAAGAGCCTTCATTTCCTTATGCTAAGTCATAAATTGAAGAATAGTTATGGCAATCATTATCATAGAAACAAATCCTGTCATATTTTTGGCGGCTTGCCCTGGCAATAAATCAAGTTTGTATATAGTTTCATAGAGTTACTCTTTGTTTAAAATATATTACCATTTTTTGAAAAGAAAATTATGATTATTTTCTTTTCTAGGTCTTTTCTGAGGCTATGTGTTTCACATTAGAATATCAGATACATATTGAATCATATTCAATGTCAGATACATATTGAATTATGATGAATGTATTTTCATGTTGTATATGATCATGATTGTCACTATTACTTGTATGTACACTGAGAGCTTGTGCACCGGAGACAAATTTCTTGTGTGTCCAACCACACTTGGCCAATAAAGAATTCTATTCTATAAAGAATTCTGTTATTGCATATTGAATTTTATTCAATATAGTGCCATGGTAGAATTGAGTGAACAGCACATGCTTGGGAGATTTCTTTTTTGATTAACACTAGTTAACAAAACAATGTTTTATTGTTTCTTGGGTTTTCTGGGAAGCCTCTGTAATATACCAGGTATGTAAAAAAGCTGAAGATGGAATGCAATATGCTTTACCACTGAGAGATATGTTGATCTAATCTACCTACCCCATCATAAGCCGTTCCTATTCCCAGTCCAAAATTATATGCACTACTAGCTGTTAACAGCTATTTGGAAATTTATGCTTTTTAGTAAAGTTGTTTCATTGATATCTAATTGCACTGTGTTTTTCTTTATGCTAGCCAAAGCAGTAACTGAACAGTGATTCCTGGAATGTGCCAGTAACAATCGCATAATGAACAAACGCAACCAGAAAGAAGGAAGAGACACCCCCCCCAGGCTAGCCTTCTCTCATAATTACTCTTATTTGAACACCTTTTATAAATAAGTACAGAGAACATTTGTACAACAAAAGAGAAAACAACTTTGTATCAGAAAAGAAACCAGATAAATTAACAGCACTTTTAAGATACTATATAAAAAAGTGTTTCTCAACCATGGTAACCTGCTGGCGAAGGAATTCTGGTCATTGAAGTTCACCCATTGTATAGTTGCCAAGATTGAAAAACACCGATATAAAATATGTGCAATGGCCATAATTCAAGCATATGCAGGTCTTGCTGATATTCATTGATTTTAAAGATTTGGTGTGCTACATCAGATGACAATACAATTTTAGAAACAAAGTATGTATTAGATTTGTTGTTGAAAAAGTGCTGCCTACGTTTAAAGATTGGATGAATGCTATGAAGATGCATCATTATATTTGGATTTTTGTGTTTAGAAAGGAAAATTTTGAAAACCGTTATCCCATTAGATAGATAGATATAGTGAGTTTTAATATATATATTTTAGAGAGGATAATGGCTTTGTGACCACAATCAGGTGCAATTTTATTGAAGTAATCAACATTTCAATAATTCTGGATGTCATACAAATACGAAAACCAGATATAAAATATGCAAAAGATGGAACCATTTGAATAAATTATATAATCTATTATAATTTAGGATCATTATAGACCTCTGTCCTTCATGACATCACTAATCTAGCAACACTGTCTACCTGTTGTAAAAGGAAATCCATTTTTTATATCATCTTTGAGTTTAGGCAATGAAATATACCTGATTCAGTCCAGTCCCTATCCCAGGGGTAGGCAACCTCGACTGGCATAGCTGGCTCAGGAATTCTGGGACTTGAAGTCCACGAGTCATAAAAGAGCCGAGGTTGCCTACCCCTGCCCTATTCCAATGTAAATGCAATTCTTATGGCGCAATTTCTCCTCCAGCACTGAGATACATATGCATTCATTCACCACATTTGTCACAAAGAGGGCATAAATTACACACAAAATCTTTTTTTTTTTTTTTATAAAAAAAGACTTGTGATGGTACATCTCTCTGCATATTCAGAAGGAAGCTGTTCATTATCAATCCCATGAGGAAGTGCTCCATCAAAAGGTCCTGCATCCACAGTGGGTTCAGATCACCCACTTTAAAACAAAATATCTAAAACAACTGATACTATTATTAATATAACATTTTACTCAAATATTTATTTTCTTAATATCTATATTTTCAAGAGCAGCAAAAAAATGATTTATTGACACCTATTTATAATTTGGTATGTTGATTTAGCTCTTGGCCCAGGACAATTAAAATCTAAAGTATAATATCTCTTTTTGGGTCTTGGGCAAAAGGGCTAATAAAAGCAGCTAAGGATTGTTGTTGTTTTTTAACTTGAAGGCTTGTGTGTTATATTAAAAATGTGGGCTGACAGCTGTCCAGTATCTTGTTCACACTATTACAGAAGTGAGTTCAGCATATTGCAACTTTCTTTTACAGCACTCTCTTTTTATACCAATTGCATTAAAAATAATCCTAATCACCCAGAGTAAAATAAATATGGATTTAAGCCAAGGTGGGCTCACATTTGGTTTGGAGACAAGATTAGCCTCTGGAAGACTCTTCAGACCTGCACTAAATGTCAAGGCAGTGACACCCTGACCCCTTCTCCCATATATATCTCACTCTTATGGGGGTAACTGAGGTGCTATATCCATACAGTAATAGCAGCAGGGAAAGAGCAGGTTTACAAGGATGACTATAGGGAAATGAAGAAATGTTAGACTCTTTCATTCCTCCATTGCAATAATTCTGGCACAAGGAAGATCCCAGAGGGAGATAGCAGAAACAGCTGCCAAATACTGGAATATTTCCTTGCTGTTAATAGTACACATTGGGTCAATTTTGGAATGAAAATTAATTTCACCCATACATAGCAATCCTGGTGAAGATTGCACAATAGGTCATACAAGGATTATTGTTCTGTGGCCCAACACTGTCTGTGTGATGGGATGTGGATTGAAATTAGTGAATTGGTGCTGAGAAATATAGCTATTCACCACACAATTACACTGTAGTTTTGTAGAAGCCACAGGTTGCCCATGTATAATAGAAATTGTTGCCTTAAAACTGGCTTATAACATTACTATCTCTACATACAAGCCCTTAGATTATTTTTATTAGAAAATCTCAGCGTAAATGATTGAGATATTCATACTGATAGCTGTTATAGAGGTGCAAGTAAAGTTGCAGAATCTTTTACATAAAAGATGAAAATTGTAGTTTTTCGGCTGGTTACTGCATGGCTTAGTACAATGCACAAATTTAAAGAAAAAATCCTAAAATTTACTGTTAAAAATACATTGTGTATGGAGAACAGAATTTCACAGGTAGCCAAGAGCCTGTATTCATGATTTTCCATACAACCTTATAAGTTTTGATAACTTGTATCTATGTAGAAGGAATGTAATATAAGAAGAGTTCATATATGGAAAAAAAGCTTCCAAGCTGGCTTCCCAAGCTAAGATTTGCAGAGAACTACGTGTTGTCTTTCATTTGATGTTTGTTCTTTGAACAGGCACACACTACATAGCAAACTAATTTTGAGAGTTTGAGGTACTTTAAAAATCTCTTTGTGATGTTGCCTTGCAGCTACCGTTCAATGAAGAAATCTTTCTAGAAGAATAAAACACTTTCTTTATTACAGTCCATACCTTTTATGTATTTACTTGTAGAAATGAGTCCCAATTATTTGTTTCAGATTAGAATGGAATTATTAAAACAGATATGGAAAATTCAAATATCCAAGAATACTCAAATATTAATACTCAATAAATACCTTGAGAAGCACATACAGCTCCATGTAAAAAATAGACTAATTTAATTTAAACCAGGTTAAAATGAAGTAGCGTTATCTCATTTTGACATTTGTAAAAGTCAATGATTGTTTTCTGTGTTTAGACAAAATTCTCCACCCACCCCAAGTGATAACATAAATAATTTTTCCTACAGCAAAATTGACTCTCAAAAAATTCATCAGAATGAGGTAAACTTTTCCCTTAGGCTTATATTTATTAATTGTGTTCGTTGAAATCTCACACTGCATTGCTAATTCTTTCCTTCAAGTTGGTCAGGAATATGTAATTGGACATATTTATTCTAGCAACTAAAGAATTACATAAAGAGAAACACTTGTTTTTGTTTTCCTTTCCTTGATTAAGCTAAGAGATACAATTTCTACCTGACTGTGTCTTTTATCTAACAGTAACTGGGTTGAAAATTATTTTTTGAACTTGTTTTCTATTTTGACTATATTTGGAAACTATTCTTGATAAATGTATTTAGAAAATACAATATATTTTAATTGAATACTGCCAGTGTCAAGCATGTAACTTTTTGTCAAAATGATACTTTTATTATTTTTCTTTATTAAAATGTTGAAATATTTTGCAAGAAATTTTTAATTTAAATGAAATGTAACAATTTGGAGACAATATATATGTACATATTAAACTATTAACATTATATTTCATCTGCCTTTGGACTTCTATCATTTGGTCTTCAAATTTTGACTGCAGTTGAGTTGCATTTGTTTTTTACTGTCAAAATATTGTCCCTCGTACTCAGATCCACATTGAACTACATCACAGTTTTTCTCTGCATTCATCCCACAGGATTTGACTCCACGTCTTTTGTATCCCTAGCACAGAACTCAAGCAAGTTGCTGAGTTCCTTGGCCAAAACAACAAGTGGACCACTGATTCCTTATCTCTGTGTTACAGACATTGTGCTTCTTAATGGCAATGTGACGTTACAATATATATTAAAACTTCTCCATACAATAAATATGGATTGGAAATAGCTTTTGCTTAATTTGTAAGGGCTTTCAAAAATCAATTTATCTCTTGAGGTAGGAAAAGCTCCACAGGATTCAGAAACATACCCCAGCGCTGTAACTATTTTTCTTATTGATAATATTAATGCTAAATTGCTCTTTTCCAGCAAAGTTTTTCTGGTAAATGTTCCCCAGTCTGAGTTTCCCAATTTGCAGGTACATTCAATAGTGTTTTCTTATCTGAATATATCCTGGGTTGAGATTAAGGAGCACTGTGAATGTATTGCTGCTTATCCCCATTTAGAAGCAACAATGGGGGTATATTTTACATTGTTTTTATTTTATTTATGGTATAGGGTTTCCTGCCTGAGCAGGGGTTTGGACTAGAAGACCTCAAAGGTCCCTTCCAACTCTGTTATTCTGTTATTTTATATATATAGACAGTCCTTGTTTTGCTTAATGACCTTTCAAAATTATGAAAAAAAGTGACTTAGGACCGGTCCTCATGTTGCCATGTCCCCACAGTCACATGATCAAAATTTGGATGTTTGGCAACCCTCATGTTGTTATTATGGTTGCATCATCCTGGGAGTCATGTGATCACCAATGGTGAAAAAAGTAAGGTTCTACATTTGGGCAAAAAGAACCAAATGCACAGGTACAGTATAGGTGGTATCTTGCTCAATAGTAGTAACTGAGAGGGATCTTGGAGTCCTAGTGGACAATCACTTAAATATGAGCCAGCAGTGTGCTGCAGCTGCCAAAAAAGCCAAAGCAGTCCTGGGCTGCATTAACAGAGGGATAGAATCAAGATCACCTGAAGTGTTAATACCATTTTATAACTCCTTGGTAAAGCCACACTTGGAATACTGCATCCAGTTTTGGTCACCAGGATGTAAAAAAGATGTTGAGACTCTAGAAAGAGTATAGAGAAGAGCAACAAAGATGGCTAAAACATATAAAGAACAGTTGATGGAATTGGGTATGTCTAGTTTAATGAAGAGAAGGACGAGGGCGACATGATAGCAGTGTTCCAATATCTCAGAGGTTGCCACAAAGAAGAGGGAGTCAAGCTATTCTCCAAAGCGCCTGAAGGCAGGACAAGAAACAATGGATGGAAACCTAACCAAAGAGAGAAGCAACCTAGAACTAAGGAGAAATTTCCTGACAGTTAGAAGCAATCAGTGGAACAACCTGTCTCCAGAAGCTGTGAATGCTCCAACACTGGAAGTTTTTAAGAAGAGACTGTACAACCATTTGTCTGAAATGGTATAGGGTTTCCTGCCTGAGCAGGGGGTTGGACTAGAAGACCTCCAACGTCCCTTCCAACTCTATTTTATTATTGTTGTTGTTGTGTTGTTATTCCAATTGCAACCTTCCCAAGGTGTTTCAACAAACAAAATGAACGGGGGAAACTGGATTCACTTAACCATGTGATTTGCTTAATGACTGTGTGATTCGCTTAACCACTGCAGCCAAAACATTGTAAAATCGGATGCAACTCACTTAACAATCATGTTGCTTAGTGACAGAAGTTTCAAGTCCCAGTTATGGCTGTAAGTCAAGACTACCTGTACTGTTTACACCCACTTTGGGACTGAGAACTCTTTAATTTACAACTTTAATCATTATCAGGCTGTTTATGGCAAACAAGTCACCCCCTGTGCTGGTGCAGCTTTCTGTCCCAATAAAGATTTTTTAAAAGGGTGATGAACGACATTTACATCGTTTCACAATAAACAACAGCTAATAGAAAAGGCTTCCTCCAACTCTGTGAATTAATGTTGTCGTGCTTGAGAAAGAAGCACAGCTTCAGAGATCAGGAAAGCTTGCTTTTTTGAGGCTTCTCTCTCCTTGATTTCTGTCGGTCTTTCTTCTTTTAAAATATTTGCAAATGACACGTGTGTGTGTGTGTGTGTGAATTACATAGTTATCAGAAGCACAGAGAAGGCACAAAAATATTGTGATG